ATATGTTTATATATATATATATATACTATATATATATAGTATGTATAGTTAACTGTATAGTAACACTACAACAACAAAAATCTTCAACAACAAAAAACTGCTGTACTTTAATAATAAATAATTTAACTTAAATTTATATTATATATACATACAATATATATATATATATAAGTATAGTATATATATATATATATATATATATATCGTAATATAGTGTACACTAAAAGTAATGTTTAGAAAATTTTGCGAATACATTGTAAATTTATTTTTATTTATTTTGGTATTTTTTGTATGTATACAATGTATACTATACATTTAATATTTTATATTAAATCACCCTTTATATATATATATAATATTAAAATATATATATATATATAATAGGATATATATTATAGTTTGAGAGTGGGTATCATAGCAATATTGAAGTCAAAACATTTTTTTAATATCAACAAAAAATTCATATATATATATATATACGGCACTAATATATAATACACGGGTTATTAATGAGTTAAATAAAATTTTTATATTTTTCTAATACCATATATACTGTATATATATATAGGTAGAAAAAATTATATTAAAAAAATAACTAATTAAAATGCATTAAGCATAACCCACACACACACACACACACACACACACACACACACACACCAACCATTATAACACAACAAAATATAATAATGATTTTTTAAGTCAATAATATTTTATATATATATATATACTGTATGTGTGTTTGAATTTACCGTAAAACGCCTTTCAGATGAATATATTGAGAAAAACAATATAAATATATATATATATATATATACTATATTTATATATTACTGCTCTAAATATGTTTTATATATATATTTAAATCCGTAATTTAATTATAATGCAAATAAACAAATGCTATTTGAAATGCTTGAATAATTTATTTTAAAATTACATGAAGTTTTTTGTTGTTTGTTTGTTTGATTTTTCAACAACAAAAAAAACTGTTTGTTTATTTGCTTTTTCTAAAAATCTGGTATTATATGCCCAAAAAATCGTTTATTTTTCTTTATTGAAATGTTATATAATATTATAATAATAATAATAATAATAATAATTCAATTCAGTTGTCTCTTTTCAATATATATTTATATATATATATATATATATTTGATGAATTTATTTATGACTATATTATATAAATATTTTAATAATATTCAGTTTATACAGTATATTATCAATAAAATAATTTTATATAATTAATTTTTAAAAATATTTATACAGTATTCAATAGTTATATATTTATTTTTACTTTCTTATCAGATTAAGTTAATAACAATAATAATAAAAAATCATGGCATTATTTTTATTTATTTATATATTTTTTAAATAAAAAAATATTTAAAAGATTAAACTAAAGTTTAGTAAATCAAAAATCAAAAAATATTTTAAAAACTTTTTTTTATAAAAATATTTATATATATATATTTATGTATTAAATATGCTTACCTGAGATCACAATAAATGTTATGATAATAACTATAATGAGATTCATTGTGCAAATAATACTCTCTCTCTCTCTTTCTCACTATTTTCTCATGAGATTATATGAGAGAATATATATATATATATTTATATATTCTTATAATAATAATTTTGTTTAACAAAAAAAATAATAAATATAAAAAAATATTTATTAAATACAATCAAAAACTATTATATTCTATATAATATAAACAGTGAATACATTATTATTATTATTATTAAACTAAGATTTTTTTTTTAAAGACTACTTAAAATGAATAATTAATATTATTATTTTTTTTGTTGTTTAATATCATTATATTGTAATTATTATTATTATCATTATTATTATTATTTAACAACTATTTATTTAATAAAAAAATTCACACACACATAAAACATTTAGGTATATTAAAAATCGCAACAATTGTTAAACGTAATTATAGATGTTATCTATCTATATATATATATATATTTTATATATATATATATATATATTTATATATATATATATATAAGCTAAATGATGTCGACAAACATAATAAATAAAAAAAACCCGAAACTACACTCTATATTAGATAATAGAAACACACAACAAACAAACAAAAATTATTACATTTTTCTTTCAACTATATATTATTATATTTATTTAATTTTTTTTTAAAAATATTTTTTAGTTGAGTTTAGAGTTTTTTAGAGGTTTAGAGGCGATGTCGACAAACAAATTGACAGAAAATATATGTTTGCAAATAAAAAAAATTTATTTATTTTTTTTTAAATAATAATAATATTGTTTAGCACTACTATAAGTAATATTATTATTATTATTATATATGATTAGTGATGACCCAAACAGTGTCAGCTTTTTAGCCAACAAACTAACAAAAAATCAGTTCATATGATAACTGTATGATTAATGTTTGTTCAATTTTTCTATATAATCACACATATATATATAGAGAGAGAGTGAGAGCACAGTTACTACTACTACTACTACTACCATCAGCACTGGTACTATACTATAGTTTATTGTATCATATTATTAGGATATTGCTGTACAGTCTCAGTGTTGTGTGTTTGTGTATATACTGTATGTATGTGTGTGTATGTGTGTGTATGAGAGACTCAACACTGGAAATATCATTATTCAATAAAAATAATAACACTGTTTGACAACATATAGTAATATACAGAATATATATACAGAATATCTGGCAAAACGGCTAATCCTTGAGAGTGTGAGTCTCTCTCTCTCTCTCTCTCTCTCTCTCTCTCTCTCTCTCTCTCTCTCTCTCTCTCTCTCTCTCTCTCTCTCTTTCTCTCTCTTTCTATGACTATGATCTGTGAAGCAAACCTATAGAGTCGGTGCTATAAAAATATCTATATATTTACCCTTACCTGACGTCAGATTTAAATAATTAAATAAAAAAAACTTTAAATTTGATTATCATTTATAAATAAAAAATAATAAAATAAAATAAATTTCTATACATGTTTTTTTTCACTTAAATACATAATATCATATTCACCTAATTGATTTATATATTATATATATCAATATAATGTATATTTATTTCATGGTTAAATCAATAATATCAATTTTATTGAAAACAATTTTATTAAATAAATAAACTATATATATATATATATATATATATATATATATAAATTTTGTTTATTTCATAAAATTGTTTCCAATAAATTATTATTTAATCATAATAAATATGTATACATATTATATATAAATCTATTGGGTATATCAAAAAATATAAAATTGCTATATTATGTTAAAAACATTTATAGATATTTTAATTAATGCTTAATTTTTATTAATTGATGTAATGATGATTAGTCTAACAATAATTATTAGTAAATCAATTAGTTTATTATTATTATTACTATTATTTATAAAAATAATTTACATATGAGTTATTTTTCTCAATGTTTTTCACATAAAGTTTTAAAATTAGAAAATTCAAGTAAATTAAAAAAAAAACTATTATTGCAATAATAAAACATTAAAATTATAATAATAATATTTATTTTAGCAAATAACTGATATATTAGCTGTTTTTTTCTCTCTACTCAAAAACTATAGTATTATTATGCTTTCAATAATATTATTTTATAGAAATTTTTAGTATTTTTATTTTATAACAATAACATAACAAATTTATAGCTAAAATTATCATCAAGAATAATAAAACTAATAATAATAATAATAATACAGTACAACATAAATAAAATATTTATTATTATTATTATTAAATTCCTATAAAATACTGTATATACAGTATATATATATATTATGTAACTATAGCTATAAAATGCTAAATAATTTATATATTTATATACATATATGTGTCACAAATTTGTGTGATAGCATATAATTTATGACAATTATTAGAAATTATTAATTTCGTTAATTACTATAATAATAATCATTTTTTGATTGTAAATTATTATTCACCCATAATTAATCAAATTAATGTATTTTCTATTGTATTTTCTATTGTAGATTTGTATCAATTAATTAATTAATTAATTCATACACAATATATAATAAAATGTTAGAAAAATGTTTTTATAGTTTTGTTTTTTTTCATTCCAAGTCTATACTAATAATTTATTTTTTAAAATATATTTTATTATTTTTGTTTGTTTGTTATAAAAAACATGAATAAAATACATTTAAAATTTTGTTACATATTCTGATCTATATATTAATATATAATATTTATTTCAAACTATACTCTATATATATATATAATGGTAGAGATATAACATTGAATATTATTATCATTAAATATTAATTAATTAAAATCGTTAGGAATAATAATAATAATAAACTAAAGTTATTTCATTAAATATATATATATAATTAAAATTCAATGTGCAATTTTATTTTATCAATTTATTTAAATTTACAATAAAAAAAATATTTAAAAATACAATATTAGTAATATAAATATATATTTATTTAAAAAAAATTAGATGCCTTATAAGTAATTATTATTATTATACTACAATATATATATATATATTATCGTAATAATAATTTTTACGTAGTTTAATATACCAGTATATATTTAAAAAAAGGTTTTATACTTAAAAAAAATTAATTATAATGTTTATTATTAAGATTAGCTAGTTAATATATATATTAATGTTATATATATATATAACACATATTAATTTATCAATATATAAAAACACACAGTAGTATACAATATATTGTAAATATATATATATATAAAAAAATATATATAATTATATATCAAATATTAATTATTAAATTGTTAAGTATGTATCATATTATGTATGTATTTATTTTAATTATTATTATTTTTTTTTTTTTGGAAAACACTCTATAGGTTAGCTCTAAAAATGTATTAATAATATTAAATGGCAATCAATACTTAATTTTAAAAAAAAAATTACTATTAAATCAATTATCATTATATACGATACAGTATATAAAAAACACACAAAATTTACAAATCAATTATCAAAAAAAATTATTATTATTATTATTATTATTATTATTACTAATTGATGTCTTTTTTTAATTAAGAGTTTCATCTTTGGTTACCTAATAAATCATCAAATAATTAAAAAATCAATTATTAAATCAATTTTATATTTAAATATCTTTATCGTTGAACTACTAATTGATACTAACCTTAGCCTCCAAGTACTCAATCCTCCTCTCAAGTGATGTCAGCTTTTCGTTAAGTGAGGCCAACCTTCCTCTGCACGACATGTCTGTTACACACATATATATATAAAACATATATATAATTATCATACCATTTAACTCATGAGTTAATTATTTAAAAAAAAATAAAAATAAAAATTAAATTATAAAAGACATACCAAACGAGTTCAAAAAGTCGGCAATTTTTTTGATACTACCGGTAATTATCTCGATATACTCTCTGTTAGCCCAGTCCTGTTGGATCTGCTTCTGGATGCCTTCTTTCTCAAAGTTGGCCATCATTTTTCAACCACAAAACCAAAACCAAATATAATTAATTATATTTAAAAAATAATAATTTAAAAATCAATTAACAATTTTTAAACGCCTATTAATATATTGTTATAACTTATCAATAGATATTAATATATAGTATATAACAAAATAGCTGCCAATGTTTTTTTTTAATAAATAATAATTTAAATGATTTAAATTGTTATTGTTGATAATTTAATTTAATTATCTACCATGTATCTATTTTATTTTTGACAATAATTGTACATGATCAAATTTATAATATTGACACACAATAATAGTAAACAATATAAAATCATTCATAAAAGACATTCACACAAAACATATTCATAGATAACATAATGTATATTATTTGAAATTTAATAGACACAGTCTTAATAAGCGGCGGCGGCGTCGGCGGCGGCGATGTTATTAATTACAATTATCTGGTCAAACAATACCGTTGAATTAATTAATTAAAAATATAAGTGACCAAGTGGTTTGAGATAATTTTATACTAGATAAAATTGGAAATTGGTCAATTTTTTTAGTATTATTAATTGTATTACATTGCCAGATAATTTAACAGTCGACTGTTTTAAAAAAAATTTTTTTTTATATAAATAATAGTCGACTTCAATTCAAACTGGCAAATCATGACAATTAATTAATTAATAAAAAAAAATTATCAATTACAATTTTTTATCCAAAAATAAAATTATCTCAAACATTTCCACTTGGTCACTTTTTCAATTTAATTGTAAATTAATATCATCGCCGCCGCCGATGTTTAAGACACTCTCCGAAATTAATAGACAATAAAATATAATAATTTTTTTTTTATTTATTTAGTGATACAGTATTGCCATCTGTATTGAGACCACACATGTTATACACATTAGATATAATACAATACAATAAACTGTAAAATAAAACATTACTATAAGTCAAACACGTGTTACACGTGTTGTTTGTTTATACAGTATTATTCGTTAGAAATACTGTATTTATTTTTTTTAATTAATTATTATTAAAATTATTAATTAAGAGATAATATGGACAGCGAAGGTAAATATCAACCAATTGTCTTGTAATTCAATTTTTTTTTAAATACAATCTATCGATAGCCAAGACATCGTCGTCGTCGAAGAAGAAGCACAGGTCGTCCAAGACTTTAGGGGTTAGTATTATAATGTGATTATATATATGTGTTAATGACTTTAACCATCGATGACAATGTCTTCATTGAATTAGGACATTCAACGCGAAGAAGATTTCCATTTGAAGCCGACCGCTGGCGAACCCAGTCTTAGTGCCCAACAATGGCCGCTACTGTTGAAGGTATGGTCTCATGAGATGAACTAAAGGGATCAATTCAATTGATGAAAAAAAAATCTCTTGTATTTATCGGCCACAGAATTACGATCGACTGAACGTCCGGACCAATCACTTCACTCCGCTATCGTTTGGCTGTTCGCCATATAAACGCGATCTACGGGAATATTTGCGATCGGGTTTCCTTAATCTGGACAAACCATCCAATCCGTCATCGCATGAAGTCGTTGCCTGGATTAAGCGTATACTTCGGGTTGAGAAAACTGGTCACAGCGGTACACTTGATCCGAAAGTTAGCGGCTGTTTGATTGTCTGCATCGAAAGGGCTACCCGTTTGGTGAAATCGCAGCAAAACGCCGGCAAAGAGTATGTCTGTATATTTCGTTTGCATAGCGCTGTCGATAGCGAACAAACTGTACTGAAAGCCATCGAAACCCTAACCGGAGCTCTGTTTCAACGACCGCCGTTGATATCGGCTGTTAAGCGACAGTTGAGAGTACGTACGATATATGAGAGCAAACTTCTTGAGTATAACAAAGACAAGAATCTGGGTATTCTGTGGGTTAGCTGCGAGGCCGGGACTTATGTCCGGACATTGTGTGTCCATTTAGGATTGGTGTTGGGCGTCGGCGGACAGATGCAAGAACTCAGGCGAGTTCGGTCGGGTATACAGTCGGAAATGGACGGTTTGGTTACAATGCACGACATACTCGATGCCCAATGGCTGTACGATAATCATAAGGACGAGGCGTATTTGAGACGTATTGTTAAACCACTTGAGGCACTGCTGACCGGCCATAAACGTATAGTTATGAAGGACAGTGCGGTGAATGCTGTCTGCTATGGAGCCAAAGTAATGCTACCGGGAGTACTCAAGTACGACAATAATATCGAAATCAACGATGAAATTGTTATTATGACCACTAAAGGAGAGGCCATATGTATAGGTTTGTATTTTGTTATATTTACCGATAATTTAATGGTAATAATACTAATTTGTTTGTTTAGCTATTGCATTGATGACCACATCGACGATTGCCAGTTGCGATCACGGAGTTGTGGCCAAAATTAAACGGGTAGTCATGGAAAGGGATACCTATCCCAGAAAGTGGGGTTTGGGACCAACTGTTAGTTTTTTTTTTGTTTTTATTGTTGTTGTTAATTGTTTTGTGATTTTTTTCAATTAAATATTAATTATTATTTTTTTTTGATTGATATCTTTGACGGCAATCTGAAGGCAACATTGAAGAAGAAGCTTATCAAACAAGGAATGCTATCCGAAAAAGGAAAACCCAATGATAAGACACCGAAGGATTGGTATCTTAAATATCAAGATTACAGTCAATCATCAGCCAATGGTTCAACAGTGAAGACTGAAATTAAAGATGAAGTAAAAGATGAAGTAAAAGAAGAAGAAGTGGCGGACACTGAAGTCGCTGCCAATGAAGAAGAAGAAGAAGTGGAGCCACAATCGGAAACTAAGAAAAAGAAGAAGAAGAAGAAGAAAGAAAAGGATTTAGAAGATGACGATTGAATTTTGTCATTAAATGTCATTTTGAAATGAATTATTATTATTATTATTATTATTGAACCCATTTTTATATATACAGTATATAATATAGTCATTTCCATTATTATATTATAATTAAATGATTATAAAATTATATCTTAAAAATTTTATTGTTATCATAAAGTTTTTTTTTTGGTGATTCATCTCAAACAACAACAACAATATATATATATATATATATAAACAATAATAATATGTTATTATAAACAAAATTTATAGACAATTATTTTATTATTATAATTATTAAGATCATTGAAATAAAACATATATATATTTTTAATTTAATTAATTAATAATAAATAAATATTTTTGACGATAAAAATGTATTTTATTTATTACTACTACTACTGTAGTATTTAGACGTACTTTACTTTAACTAAACTTTTTTTTTTTTAATTTTTATTTGTATTATTAATAATAAACTGTAAACAAAAACATTGTATTTAATTATTAATATTTAAAATGTATTTCACGTTATAATCATATGATTCATATATATATATATATAAACAAACAATTTGTTATTTATTTCAATTTTAAATCAATAAATGTTATGTTTGTTTGTTTTTGTGGTTATCATCTGATGATTGATTGATTGATTGACTGAATTGATTGAACTAATCGACTGACTATATGTCTGGACACGTGATGTCAGATAATTGTTGTCAACATCATCGACATCACCACAACCTAACCACCGATGACGATAACCGGAAAAAACAACAACAACAACTGGTGGTCATCGATGGTCTCAGTGAATGTCAACTCCAACAGAGGACACTTCCCGATCATTTGGCCGAATCCATGGATCTATTGATTGTCGGCATAAATCCCGGTTACGCTTCCGCTGCCAGAGGACATCACTACGCCGGTTGGTTATGGTTATAATATGTCCAATCAATCAAACCAATTGATCCCGAAGATCATTAATTAATTCAATTTGTTGTTGTTGTTGGGTATCTATTAGGCCGTGGAAATCATTTCTGGAAATGTTTGCATTTAAGCGGATTAGTAGACAAACCGATGACCGCTACCGATGACTATCGTCTTATCGGTTTGAATGACGAAGAAACTAACGGAAACTATAGGATTGGTTTTACTAATATAGTCAGCCGTACGACCCGTGGAAGCGATTGTCTTAGCAAACAGGAGATCAAAACAGGCGGCCAAGTGTTGCGCAACAAAATCTTAAGATTTAAGCCAACGATTGCTGTCTTCAATGGCAAAGGTGTGTGGTTTTTGATGAGAGAGAGAGAGAGAGAGGATATCAATCATATATCTTAGGCATTGATATTGTGATTGTTTTTTTTTGTTGTTAAATATTTTTAAAAAATAAAATTTTGTATTTATTTATTATTATTTTTTTTATTTAAGGAATTTACCAAATATTTAGCGGAACTACTGATTTCAAGTTAGGTCTTCAGCCAAATAGTCAGTCGATTGGCTCGACATTAGTCTATGTGATGCCATCGTCGAGCGCCCGGTGCTCCCAATGGCCACGTATTACCGATAAGTTGCCATTTTATATTAGTAATTGAATTTCAGTATTATTATTATTATACTGTACTGTATATACAATGAAATGTAATATTTAATTATTAATTAAATTTAATTAAATAATATCAATAATAGGTTTGCGAGAAATTTTGGACAAAATTCACACATTAAATGCTGCTAACAGTAATAATAATAATAATTTAATTAACGATAATATTAACAACAATTTACCAGAAAAAACTTCTTCTGGCATTAATATTATTGTTAATAAATGTAAATATTTTTAAATATATTATATATAAAACAAAACAAAAAAAAATACATTAAATCATAATATGTTACATAATTATTATATAAAGTATTATTATTATCATTATGTTTATACTATTATATCATATGAAAAATTGTTTCATATTAACGGTACATTTGAGATAAGTTATGGCAAAAATATGCTTATTATGTTTATTTTATTTTTTTAAAAAAATCTCTGTTAATTATTTTAAAATTTAAATAAACAATTTATTTGTTTAATTAAAATAATTTATTATTAAATTTTTTTTTATTTAAATACGGTAAATTAATTTTTACCCAAACTAAAATTTACTAATTATAATTTATTATTTAAAAAAAAACTAGATATTACGATAAAAATATAAAATGTTTATATATATAGATAGCTAACTGTTTATAGCTAACTGTATATAATTGAGCCATAAATTTAAAAAAAGGAGGATGGTACTTTTTATAAATCATAGATATATATATATAGACATGTGCAAGTTGATTTATATATATATAATTAATAGATACATACAGTTAGATAGTGTATTAGATCTATCTTTCCCTGTAATCTACATAAATGGGGTTTTAATATATAGCCATCCGATGTCCTGTCCTAACAGTAATAACAACAACAACAAGTAGCACACATTGCACTGGTAGGTAATACTCTAGTAGTATTTTGTCTAAACTATTTCTACTCTAATATTTTATCCAAAAAAAAAAACTACCACTTATTTCATGTGTTCCCTACAGTGTCTACACACACACACACAGCACAGGCATCATTTTCAGGCTCAGGTATTATCTCAGGTATTATTATTATTAGTATTGTGTGTGTGTTGTGTAGTGGCACGTGTTGTTTGCTAAACTGATTGTTATGGGGTAGGTGCTGGTGTAGGGAGAGGGGACAGGAGGAGCAGATGCTGGACGTATGCCACTAGACAGGTGGCACAGGTCTGTTTTAAGGCCTCTATTATAGTCTAGAAACTGTACTGTAGGTGAGTGTGTGTGTGTGTGTGTGTGTGTGTGTTAGCCCCTATAGTATAGTGTACTTCAAGCACAGGTCTAAAACCTCAGACAAAATAAATTTTATTTTATTTTTTGAATTTTATTTTAAAAGCTGTGATATAGTAGAGTAAGTAAAGAGAGAGAGAGAGAGAGAGAGAGAGAGAGAGAGAGAGAGAGAGAGAGAGAGAGAGAGAGAGAGAGAGAGAGAGACTCTCTGGACGTCCTCGACATCCATGTCTTAGTCGTCGCACACAATCGGACAACACCTGGCTTTCACTACTACTACTACTACTACTACTACTACTACTTAATCAAAAAAATATGACTCAATGAATGCACCAATAGTTTTGGCACTTTTTCTTTAAAAATAAAAAAAAATCAAAAAATATATATATGACTTAAATAATAATAATAATATAATAATATGAAAATATTATTCAATTCAATATAATTTTTTTTTTAAATTTATCTTGTTGAAATATATATATATATATATTGAACCTAGGAAGTTTATTACAAATTAAAGTACAAAGTTATTAGTACAGAAAACAATGTAGTTTTAAATACAAATCAACAACAAAAAAAAGGACAAATATGTTATGTACTGTATATATACTGTATATATATATATATATATATATCTAATTAAATAAATAAATAAATCTAATGAAAAACATATGACACATGTGTGTGTGTGTGTGTGTGTCCCCCATATAAAAATGGACTCTGGACCATTTTTTGTTTGTTTGTACTTAAAAATTTATAAATTGTTTATTAAATTTATTAATTTATAACCTCATATTTTTCTAACTAACTATTTCTAAGACAGTACATCTACACAAAAAAATATATACAATATATATATATATTTTAAAAAATAGTATTTAATTTGAAATTATTATAAATTATACATAAAAACAGGTTTTTTATATATTTTTTCTTAAAAAAATAAATCTATATGTCTGTGTGATTTTGCACAGTTTACTAATTATGATAATTGATTGATTAGCACTGATATGTGACCATCAATGGGTCTCATTATTATAAATCATTGTCGCCTATCATATCATATATATATATATACAGTATGGTTGGTATTAGATGATGGTATTATATTATTATTTGCAAACACGTTTGTTTTTTAATCTAGAAAATGTGATATAAATTTCATATATATATACAGTATACTGTATATATATGTATATATATTTTAAAGGTCATAAAAGTGATAAAATAGATAAAAAAAAATGTGTTCCCTGGTTCATTTTTATTACACACATATACATATTATATATTATATATATATATATATATATATATATATATATATATATACATATACATATATATACATAGATACATACAATATACTTGTATTTTTTTTACTACTATAATAAAAAAATAATAATATCATTGTGTGTGTGTGTGTGTGTGTGTGTGTGTTATTTAGATAATAAGATAATAATTATATAAAAATGCTAATATATAGTGATATTTATCGACAATAACAACAAAAAAATTATAGATAATTTCTATTTCATTATTAGCGGATAACTCATTGAATTTATTATATATATATATCAATTGAAATTATATATATATATATATATATATATGTATATACTGTATATATACTGGGTATATATATAAATTAGTTGCCGACTATATAACCAAATATATATATATTGCAAAAGCAAATATAAAAAGCAGATAGTTTTGATTTTTTAAAACGAAATGTTATTTCATAGTAGAGATGATAAAACAAAAACAAAATTATTATTTAGTATTTCTGGGAAATTATGTAATGTTTTTTTCTGATTACACAATAATAATAATACTATAATAAAAATCAATTGAAAAATCACATGAATTCATGCGAAGATGATGACGACAACGGCGACGACCGCCTGATTGCATACCAGTGCAAAGGTATAGATGAGAGAGAGAGAGAGAGAGAGAGAGAGAGAGAGCATTGAGAGAGCAAATAGAGAGAGAGAGAGAGAGAGAGAGAGAGAGAGTCAAATAAACTGTATATTATAGCCAATAGAAAGTAAGTGCATCATAATATAAATGTCATATATATATATATATATATATATATATATACAGTATACTAATGTATTTACTGTATATTTTATATGCATGTATAGTAAAAAATATATACAGTAATACAACACAATGTACTGTACTGTTTACACATACACACACACACACACACATACATACACGTGTGATGTAATAATATATATACTTATATACTATATACTATACTACCCGGTATAAACTAGTAGTGCACTTTGGATTTTTTTAAATGTCAAGGATATTGTACTGTTATAATAAACAATACACTGTTTATATTACCTACATATATGTTGTTTGGTATCTAAACTATCTAATTAATTTTCATCAATATAATAATAAGCTAGCTAGATAATTTAACTATAATTTCTAAAAATTTTCCCAATTATTATTAAATACTATTTATTGACCATGGGTTGTGTTTGAAAATTAGTGGAAAATTTTATTATTATTATTACTTACTTTTTATTTATTAAAATTAGATACAATTAGTTTTTAAAAAGTAAACAATTATTATTAATAATAATAATAAATTTATTATTGTATTTTATGTTTACATTAAAATTAAATAGTTATTTGTCAATAATTTTTTGTTTTAACAAATATATATATTATATATATTTAAACAAATAGACAACAAGTTTTTTTGTTTAGTACATTTCTATAGTACAAAATTGAAAAATAAAACATTAATTTAAGTATAAATTGGTAATAATAATCATAATAATAATAATAATAATAATAATAAATACTAAATGTACAGGTAGTATAGTATATAGCCATGGCTATATAGCTTGAATAAATAATAATAATTTTAAAACACACTGTGTGTGTGTGTGGGGAAAGTACAGTTAAGTACAAACAAGGATACACATTATGCGCACAGGGATGTACTAATTTAGTAATAAAAATTAAATTTTTAGTATTTACTGAAAATACTACCTAAAAATTATATATATACAGTATATACAGAATATATGAGAAGCTTTAAGAAAAAATAATAATAATATATACAGTAAATAAATAAATATATATTATATATACAGTATACAAGTATAATATATATATATATAACTTGTAGTAAACATAAACATGTATATTGATACTGATGTCGTCAAACTTGACCTTTCTCATTTTATTATATAAAAAAAAATTAAATGTCTAACAAATAAACAAACATCTGCCTATACATTTAGTAAAATAATTTTTGTTGTTGTTGTTTTTTAAACACAAAAATTTATTATTATTATTAGTATTATCAATGATATTTTCTCAACAAAATTACTCATAAATGTTTTTAAAATTTTTTTTTTTTTTAAAGTGTATATATTTAGATAAATAACATTAATATTTAATATATTTAGTTGTTTATATCTCACACATACAGCTAATACAGTAAAATAATTTTATTTATTTAAACAATTTTTATTTTTCCCTTACAATTTTTATATAGTAATTGTAAATTCAATTTAAACAATTTTTTTTGTTTGGTTAATGATAGAAAGTTATTTATTACCCGGTAATTATTATTATTATTATTATTATATATATATTATATATACTGTATATGTATATAATTTTTCCCAGAAAATTGTTGATTATTAAAATATTTTTATAGAATTTATATACAGTAAGTGTTACTGTATAATAATAATTGTTATCTAGATAATTTTTATTAATTTACAAAAAATATATACAATTTGATAAAAAAAATAATTATTTAATTGACAGACATAGTTAAACTTGTGTACTATAAATATATATTTATATACAGTATATTTAATTGTATACAATTGTAACTAATAAAATAATCATTAGAGAATAGATTAAAAGTTATTTATATATATATATATATATAAAACTATTTAATTATTCTTTAATTTAGTAGAAAAAATAATTAATAAATAATTTTTTAATGAATTTAAATATATATATATAAAATAAATAATTAGCTTAAACTTTATTATTTTGTTTATTTAAAAAAAATATACAAATATTATTATCATTTTATTACAGTATTAAAATTATATTATATATTGAATTACAAAATATCATATATATACTAGTACATTATATATATATAAATATATAAGTTATATATCATTATATTTTTTGTTTGTTTGTTTAAATAAACAACAATAATTATTAATGTTGTAATAATTGTAATGTAAGTTAAAAAAACAATTGGGCAACAATCATAATAATACAGTATAATAATGATAATAAAATCATGTAATTTATTAATCAATTTTAGCTATAAATTAAATAATTATAATAATATTATTTTTAATATTCAAATAATATTAATATTAATATTGGGTATTAAACACAAAAAAAACAGTTTAGTCATGTTTTCCCAGGGTATATACTGTACTGTAAAATAAAGTACCTAGCTAAAAATTTGTCAACATGTTAGTCGGTTTTTTTTACTTTCCCAAATAAAACAATAAAACAAAACTTTAATGACTTATTTTTATTAAAAAAAATAAATAATGACTATTTAATTTTGACTAATTTTTTTTCATATATATGTATATTAATATAAAACTAACCTATTAGCTAAAATATAATGATACAGCGTCTACATATAGTACAGTACATACAGTAGTATATGCTGTCTTAGATAATATAATGATAATAATGTCAACACACACACACACACACATACATACATACATATACACACACACACATACATATACACACACACATACATACATATACACACACGCACACACACACAGGTAGGTTAATATCTAACAAATCCCGCTATCATTTAAGGTAACTGTTATATATATATATATATGATATTTCATTTAATACACAATTAAATTAATAAAGAGTGTGTGTGTGTGTGTCGCCAATACTTATACATTGCGTAAAGTGTTGGCGCCGACAATGAAAGAGAGAGAGAGCCCTAAAAGTACTTTCATTGAATTTCAAGCAAAAAAAACAGAGAGAGAGAGAGAGAGAGAGAGAGAGAGAGAGAGAGAGAGAGAGAGAGAGAGAGAGAGAGAGAGAGAGAGAGAGAGAGAGAGAGAGAGAGTTTTAAGTGTATGATAAAGCGATTTCTTTGAAAATTGACTTTATTTTATTGTAATAATAATAATAATCATAATAGAGGTGCCAATTTGATTTCTTTTTTTTAAAAAATTTATTTACATGTACTTAAACATGTTTATATGTGTATTTTGAACTAGATCATTGTGTCAATTTTTATATGCAATTTTTATTATTATTATTATTGTAACTGTAATTTTTTTACTGTTGATTATCTTATATCATATATTTTACAGATACAATAGTTTAGAGATTATATATATAAAAGTAAATTAGTATAGAAAGCAACAATAAAAAAATTATATACAATATATATATATATATATATTATAGATATATAATCTGAAAATGTTTGCCATAAGAGCAGATGTTTTAATATAAATAATTATCAATAAAAAGAGTGTATTTAAAAAAAAATATATAATAATACAGTAATAATAATAATAATAACTGTACAATTGCACACATTTAATACATTATTATTATTATTATTATGATAATATGATTAGATAATAAATTTAGAGGACCCATTGTTCAATATACTGTATATATACATACATAAAATATGGTCACTTAAAATATGATGATAATAATAATAATAATACTAAATTATATTATAATAGGACATACAATTAGAAATTTAAGAGAGAGAGAGAGAGAGTACTATTTCAAACGTAGTTCCTATTTATGAATTAAATATAATTTATTTTATTGTATATACAGTATTAACTAAACGACATTAATTTAGTAATGAAAAAAAAGTAATAATAATAATAATAAAATGATAAATTGACAAATTTATATAAAAAAATATGTTTACAGTTAGTTTATGTACACACTGTTAGTGTGTGCACACATTTTTTGTTGTTGTTGGTTGGTATGTTCATCAATATACAAACTTTTTTTTT